TTTTAGGGAGGGGTTTGTCCAGGACCCTGTAGGTCTGAAAGGAGATGAAAGGAAGGGATCTGCAGGAGATAAGAGAGGTGGACACACACGGCCGTTCTGGCTAGAACATTCATATCCAGCGGCCATGAGCTCCGACTGCCACAGACATACACACACACACACACACACACACACACACACTTACATACACAGCACATCTGTCATATCTCTATGCCTCTACAAACTTCCGGATCTCTAAACGCAACACCGGCCTTTCGTACCATATTTTCGCTCGTTTAATCAAGCCTGTGTTGGCTAATTCCCGTGTTGTTCTGGGCAAGCTGTGAAGTCGCTAACACGTGTGAAAATAAACAAAATAGGGAAAAGATGAAGAGACAATAAACTGCACATGCTAAACATTCTCAGCCAAGTTCCTTCAGAAAAGTCAACGAGAATTTTCTGTCTCAAAAGAGAAAGTCCACTGATCTGTTTGATATGACAACTTGAAGAGTGTTATTTCACAAATCTACCCAGAGGAAGCATTAAGTTTTTTTAGGCTTTTCTACTTAATTTTGATCCTGAACTAAGCTATCAGTCAAAAGTTTGGACACACTTGCTTGTTCTTCATTATTACAAATTTTCCATGCTTTAGAATAATAGTAAAGTCTTTAAAACTGTGAAATAGAAGTATGAGAATTATGTAGTTTTGATAAAATAATTGTATGTATGCACAATTTATATTTGACTACAAAACTGTCCACTTTGTGTCCATTTAGATTTTTTTGACTGGTAGTGTACAGTGGCTCCAAAAGGTATTGGACACTTAAGTTATAAAAAATCAACTTAATTCCAGCTGATTAAAAACAAATAGCAAATGTCACTAGGTTTGATACATGCATTGAATATGATGAAATCTGTTCGTTTAACCTGCACATGCTAAACGTTCTTAGCCAATTTCCAACGAGAATTTTAATTCTCAAAAGAGAAGGTCCACTGATCTGTTTGATATGACAACATAAAGAGTGTTATTTCACAAATTTACATAGATTATTTAATTTTGAATTTACCGAGAAAGATATCTGATGATTTGTTTATGTAAGTAGCAACAGATCTTTTCTTCTGTATTGTGACGTACACGGAGAAACGGAATTTCAAAAAAGAAAAAGAAAAAAATGTAGGGCGGGGACTTTGTTCTATACATCAGCTGTTGATTGGATGGAGACAGATCTGGATGCCTCACATGAAGAAGTTAAACCATCTTATAGCATTGCTGGATGTGTACAAGGGTGTGTGTTTGAGTGAAAGGTCAGTTGTCTCTCTCAGAAGAGGAGACATTTTCAGGAGCGAAAACATACCACTGTTTGCCAATCTCTGTTTTTTTAAAGTCCTTGCTTAGAAGAGACTGTGCCTCTCCACAGCAGACTTACGGACACAGTTTTTGCAGGAATGTGGCACACTTACACACACACCTGCAGTATCTTATCTTGTGACAGCCAAAGCAACAAAATATTAACCAGAGGAAATGAAAACACAAACATGCCAGTACATCGTAACATGCTACGTACATGTGCCTGCAAAAAGACTGCTCTGCAGGAACAATACAACAGATGTTAAAACATGTCAGTCAACCAGAGCACAGTAACAAAAGAACCACATGAAATAATATCAACTCTACATAACACGTACAAAACACACTCTTGAGTAATTAGCTGTCACCTGAGACAATCAATGTGGAAGGGAAAAAAATCCATTCCAATTTCAAAACTACAGGCTTGCCTGTACACGCAGATGTGGACTAATCAATAAGAAAAGCATCCCACATCAGAAAGATGAGAGAATACAGAACCAAAATATTCTCACTGACTAAACCATTTCAATGTAAATCACTGCATAAAGGAATCTCTCCCATTAATGCCGCTGAAAGATATTTAGCAGAGTATCCTGGCTGCTCTTTTTAAACAATGAAAGTGAATGGGAATGAAGGCTCCAAAAAGGACAAAACAAAAAACAACAAAAGTACCACACATAGTGCATACGATTTATGAAGTATGTTCCAAACTTTCTGTAACTATAATGATATTTTTATGTGAGGAGCAGAATGAAATGCAAGTTATTATTAAAAATGTAGTAGCTTTTAAATCTTTTTGTACATCTAAATATTGTGTCAAAATGCGTCACACCAAGTTTGAATTCAATGACGATCTTGAGACTTGAGAACTGATGACAAACCTGGAGTGTCAAACTGTAAATGAAACCACTTTATGGCTTTTCAGTTGTTGAGGAAGTATTTCAGTGAATAAAAACAAATTTCAATTTATTTTGATTTATTTAGCACCCAAAGCTGTCGTATGGTTTGAAATATTGTGCAGTTTTTTTTTTTTTTTTTTTGGAGCTTGTAAATTGTATGGAAAACACTGTTACACTACATTATAATAATTATTATAATTAAATAAATTTTCCATGTGAATGCTTCAGGAAAGGATGGTTGAAAATTTCAGGGAAATGTTGCAGGAGTCAAAAGATAACGGCGTGTCATAATTTCTCTTGGCAGTGATTTTATTTTTCTTGAAGACACTGTGGTGAGGAGCCTCATTTCCGCAGAGCCGACCAGACAGGATGCTGTAAATCAAGGTACTGAACTTTGACCCATGGAATGCAGTCGCCAAGGGCAACTCAGTGTGTGTCACCTCTACGGTGAAGTGTTGGAGAGGAAGCGACTGCGACAGTCAAAATGACTCTCAGCACTTGGGTTGATGTTGCATGAACATCCACAGTAGGACGGGGGAAAGTGCTACAATTATGAATTTAGATGGGTAATTGTAGCTCAAAATTACCTTTGAGAATAAGATGATAAGAAGGTATAGGAAGTAGGGAGGATTGGTTATACCCCAGATTAAGTGATCAGGGGGTATATGAGGAAGGCCAAGAAACCGTAATGAAAGTGTGAGAACCATAGACTGTAAAAAAAAGATGGACGACGCGTCTCCTATTCCTTCCACTATAGAAAAGTGAAGCCAAAGCATCTCAGTATGGCCGCTGCCATCTTGAGTAAATGACGTCATTTGGAGCCAGAGTCTGCGCAGTAGAGTTTTGTTTGGAGCCCGAGTCTGCGCAGTAGTGTCGTGAGGTGGAGCCTCACTGGACTGAACTCCCACAGACCCAATCAACCATAACGACACGCCCCGTTTTTATAGCATCAAATTACTAGCTAAAATCAAACTTATCACAAAAACGAACAATTTAACATATATCAGAGTGATAACAACTACCTTAAATGACCAAAACCATCTTTCGGAAAATTGTATTGGAAGCGTAATTTATTTTTTAAATTTTGACTCAAGTCCCATTCGTTTATATGGAGAGGGCGGGGTTTATGACCTGTACTGCAGCCAGCCACCAGGGGGCGATCAAAGAGCCTGCAGATTCACTTTTCATGATGTGTGAGGCACACCTGGTGAGAACCTGTGGCCAGAGGCTAAGTCTATGTGAGTCACCTTATAGAACCTTTAAATGACCTTTTGCTGTTTGGTGTGACATTTGTATTCATTAAGTAGGTCACACAGTAGAGAAGACTGCATAAACCCTCACACTCCACCTTCAACCAACTCCCATAACACCATGGTTCCCTCATTTCATCACTATGCCCTTATTTCCAAATTTTCCTCCACTTCCTTCTTTTTGCCTCTCAGTACTAGGGTTGTGTGGTGTAATTGTATTAATGCTAGCTAATTCTACCTTTAATGCTTTCTATTATTGTTGTGTTTATTTTTTACTCCTCTTTTAATAAATCCCACAAAAAGTCTCAAACTCACAAGTTCGCTCAGTCATGTGCACTCATTCGGTGAATCAGTCAACAAATCCTTTACTAAATGAACTCACAGAATCTACCAAATTAAAACATGCAAATCGTTTTTTGTCTTCAAAAAGGACTTTATGATGTCAAAGGATAGTTTCTGTTGAGATTGTCATCATTTACTCACCTTCATACCATTCCAAATCTGTGTGATGTTCTGTGTAATAAAATATATCTATATAACAATTATGACATTAACTGCAAATTACTGACATTGACTTACTGATTCTGTTAACAATCCTACTTTTATTTCATCAGTTGCCCATCAAGAAAGACAACTAAAAGATATAACATTCTGTTTATTTTAAACACACATCTTCCGCTTTACATGCCCAAGCTCTTTAAAGCCGACTTGATTCTGATTGGCTGGATTATTATATTTTCAGTTACAGTTTCGTGCTTGGTGTGAATGGGCCTTATCTCACTGTGGCTTAAGCAAAACAGCTAAAAAGGTACTAACAAAGAACGTAAGAGAGGAAAACAAACCAAGGAAGGCCAACTTTACAGGAACACCGGCAGAAAGACAAAGACCTGCATCACGTTTTCCTGAGTGATGGAAGGTGTGGTTAAAGATCTCGATCTTCAAATCTGTGTATAACATCAGAACAGAGAGGCCAGGGAAAAGGAGCCTGTTATAATATGCACATTTTTAATGTTAGAGAATATGAAACTGAGCATCAAAGCTTATGCAGACACTCCTGCCTCAGTACTTGTTCACGTTTGGGAACCCTAGAGACTTAAAGGAACACTCCACTATTTTTGAAAATAGGCTAATTTTCCAACTCCCCTAGAGTTAAACAGTTGAGTTTTACCGTTTTCGAATCCATTCAGCCGATCTCCAGGTCTGGTGGTAGCACTTTTAGCTGTAGCTTAGCATAGATAATTGAATCTGATAAGACCGTTAGCATCTTGCTCAAAAATGACCAAAGAGTTTCTATATTTTTCACCCTGAGAGCCACAAATAAAGAGAAAAGGTCTCCCCCTGGGTATCTTTTCTTCACTTCAAGTCCTCAAATGAGCTAACTTCACTTTATCATGACAGCTTCCTACCGGAGGACGTTCACCTCCTCAGTGGCCTTCAAGAAACAAAAAGCCACTGCAAAGGCTGGTATTGATCCAGCATTATTTGTTAATTATAATTATCAAAGAGCAATATTCAGTTGTCAGTGTTGTTGTTGTTTTTTTTTCTTGAGTGTCTCACTATAGTTCCCACAGTAAATGCACAAACTTGTTTACCTTCAATGGAATGCAAGTTGCTTTGGATAAACATCAAATGTATAGTGTTGTCATAAAGTGGACTAAGCCCGACGTACCATGGTTCCAGCAGGCGCAATGATATTACGCAGCGCCTGAAAATAGTCCCCAGCTAGGTAACTTCCAATAAGCCTATTTTCAGGCACTGCGTAATATCATTGCGCCTGCTGCACCAACAACACTCAACTGTTTAACTCTAGGGGAGTTGGAAAATGAGCCTATTTTAAAAAATAGTGGAGTGTTCCTTTAAGAGTGAACTCAGGTAGCTTTAAAGAAGTAATAAGAGGAACGGTTGTCTAGATAGGGTAGAACCAAGAAGAAAGTCTGTTTGCACATAAACATGGTTCGTTGTGCGATCAGTGACCAGCACTGCTTTTAAATCCACAGACACAAGTGTATTCTCACTCTCTGCTCTTGGGGTTAGAGGGATGGTTCAGCTAAAAATGAAAATTCAGTCACCATTTACTCATGTAGTTCCAATCCCGTATGACTTCTGTGGAACACAAAAGGAGACGCTAGGCAGGATGTTTGCACTACTCTTTTCCAAATATAAGATAAAGGGCTGCCAAAGTACCAATAAACATCATAAAAGTAGCCTATATAGCTCAAACAGTAGTTTTGTGTGAGGAACAGACTAAGTGGAATATACTAAACAAGTCATATGAGCTACTTTTATGAGGTTTTGTAATTTCTGGAGCTTGACAGCCTTTTGTCAACATTCACTTACATTGTAAAAGAGCAGCATGAACAATCTGGTGAGTAATTGATGACAGAATTTTCATTTTTGTGTACTATCCCTTTAAGCTTCGGCATGCTGTTTTACCCCTGGTCCCTCTGAAATCTCCCAGGAATCACCCACATTGTGTTCAACAAAGGCACCAGTTGTAAATCCAGACTTCAGAGCGTGTGTCATGTGATGGAGGAGCTGTCTCTCATTTCCCTGCCATAGAGAGGGTCTCTCTGATATAGCAGCTGTTTCTCTGATGAGTTGGAGAATCTGGGAAACATTGTCTGGCGAGATCAAAGAGAAGCAGGGCTGTAATTACCGCGGTAACCAACGGTAAAGCTGTTAAATTAAGCAGGCTCAACCTTCAGTCTGTTAATGAGAAATTTCTCTCCTTCTCTCATTAGAGGAGGTATTTATGAGGCGAGTCAAAACCGCACACTGGGGTCTGGAGAGTTATTTATTGATTGAGGGCATTTATCATACCTAAACATTCAGTAAAGAGAGTTACACAGTTACAACGGAACCATCAGGTCAGAACTACGCAAGATACAAGAATACACTAAAGCCAGATTCAATTAATCATAACAAAAGAAAGAACTCCCATATCCCGACAGCTTCAGAGTAACTTCCAGAGGTAATATGTGCCTGAGAAAGTGGTATAACTACATAAACACAAGGTTTGATGGTGAGGTCTGTTTGACAGCTGCCACAATTACTGATGTGCAGCTTTACAACATTTACAAAAGACGGAAAGCTTTGAAAGAGAGTATGAGTTCTGAATTCTAATTAAATGCGCATTTTAAAGAAATACGTTGAAAAGATGGACCTTTCCATGTTTGGTTTTGAAAATTTGGCTGAAACAGCTGTCTATTTTATAACGACGTAGCAAAGGGAGTTCTCGGATCTCCTGAGACGCTCCAAAGGGGATTTGTCAAGCCCATGGTCTCTTGTTGGCTGTAAACACAGGAAATGTACAGCTGGATCCAGCTCTTAATACTGACGACTATGTACTGTACAATGTTTACCACTCAAAATACACGACTAGACCTAAATGCAAAACATTCCACTATGTTGCTAGCGGTTGCCCCTAAAGTGACTGACAAGCATCAATGAAGCACAAAGAATGAGACTGTATGCTAAGTATTGACTAGAACAGCTCCCCATTGAGACTTTATAAGGACTGGTAATGAAGAACCATGACTTATCAATAATAGCTTAGCATTATTGCAGTGGGCTGCAGTGCAGGACTGCGGTAACAGCAGTGCTAGCAAATCTGGCCTCAACCATATCAGTTTAAATAAAGAATAAAGTGTATCACTGTGCCACGAATAAGAATGCTCTAGGTCAAGTGACTGTTTTGTACAATAGGATATAAAACCAAGCTGGCAGCCACCGCAATGGCTTAATTTTCCAGTGATATGGACAATGAAGCACACCCAAGCAGTCACCTTAGTGAAACTTCGGTAAAATCTGACAAGTAATCTGTACAACCAACTTGAACCTGTAGCGAAATCTGCAAGGGGAAATATTTTGCTCTCATGTGAAATTCCAGATCATGTAGATTCCTTATGAAATTACTTTCACCCGTGAAAATATGTGACCCGTGCTGGCAAAATGAGTGGGAATGCGCACGGGCTAATTTTGAGCTACAGGCAAAAAAGTTTTTTTTTCTTCTCGATTTTAGTCAAATTTGAGGTTTTCACAAAAAAGAGTTCATTAAGCCCTCGTCTAGCGATCCCAATGCTCCAAATATGAATTAAACATCTAAAATTATCTTTATTTGTACGTTTTCTGAGAGGAGTACCTTTTCTGGAGGAAAAGATGCAACGTTGCTCTGTGATTTTGCTTTGAAACCTTCAGAAAACTTTAAAGCTGCAGTCTGTAACTTTTTTTGTGTTCAAAATTTACAAAATGTATATAATAATCGAGTACACCATGAATCCATTTTCCAAACCGTGTTTTTGGCTTATCCAGAATCACTACGGTACCCCTATGATAAGTGTTTATATTCGGACTATTTTAGACTGGTTCGGGTAGGTACCGCTGCGGAGTAGCCCAGTACCTGCGTGATTCGTCATAGACATAAACAGAGAGAAGTAGCTCCGGCTACAATGTTCTTCCGCAAGACGCACGCAGTTCTGTTTATTAACCGATAGAGCGCCAAAAGTTACGGACTGCAGCTTTAACAATTTTTCTCAAAATTGACTTTGCGGACTATCGACTTCAAACAGGTGTGTAGCTCAGTCATTTTTCGTCAGATTCCAACAAATCATACATCATTCTGAACGTCATTTAATGGAGAATGTGAAAATGAAAATAACTCATTTTTGATGTTTGATTTTTAACTCAAAATTGCTCAATGTGATTCATTTTGCCAGCACAGGTCACATGTGATCACAGGTCAGTATGAAACAGAAATTGCATCATTGTGACGCATACATAAATGAAATGGCTTTGCGAACAAGAAAAAAATAAATAAATGAAGGACAGGACAATGAATAAATCACTGGATTGTTGTTGTTTGCTAATTGCTGCAATCTCACGTAAGGGGCAAGTTTATGGCCCAGCCCTTGTGCACACCTCAAAGAAGAGAAAAGATTAATAAAATAATTGCAATATTCCATAAAAATTAAGAATTGTCAATTTTGATTTCATTGTGACGAATGTAGGTATTAACACAATTATTTTCTCAAAGACATGCAGTAAATACCCAAAGAATCTTCAGTGTCTCTGCCCCAAGATGGCCCACAATCCTCTTCTCCTTCCACAGCCCTCCACTCACCTGAAACAACCACAGAACAAACATTTCTATACATTTACTAACCAATTTACATGCATTTGAATCGATCGTACTGCTGTCAGATTGGGTACGCACAATCCATTTATACTTGGCAACATAAATGCGTCTCCACTTCAGATATAAATCTGATCTACTACACCCATGCTATATGCAAACAAAGTTCACTTCTGTGATGATACTAATGCCAGCCAGTGAAATTTTCTACCTCATATGAAATTAGTGTTTGAGATTTGCGGCCACTGTTTCTAGGTTTCATATCGATGATCGCGCGGCTCCTGCACTTCCTTATGCTGTCGTAGTTCTTTTTAGGAAGAGTATACTATATATGTGAGGCCTGAAGAACCAGATGCATTTATATTTGGTCTTTTCATGATCCTGTAACTATGAAAAATGACCAAGTGTAAACACCCCCTCAAAGGAACCTTAAACCACATAATCTGTCCAGCGCACAGAAAAGACTAAATAAATAATAAGAACGTCCAAGTAAATTATTCACTTGACATTCTTGAACCTCACTGACTACTCTTGTTAGACACTCCCGTGTGAAAATGGAAAAATGAGATGTGGAAACTAAGAGAGAAAAGTTAATTCACCTGTACACTAACTCAGCAAAAACTACGTCTTCAGCCTTTGTGAGCAGCAGAGATAATCAGGTCCAACACCTCCAAACAGGACTTACTAATGCAAGGAAGTGCACAAGCCTGCTCTCGCACACCAATGCAGATGTCGAAATCTCCACCAACACATATGAAACAAGCCTACACGGTAAACACGCTTCCTGAATGAATCTTCAGCTGTAAATTATGGATGTTCTGGGTGTAACAGTGTGATAGACGAGGGCCCTGGAGTCCCATCAGGGTAAAACACAAAACTTACAACTCTTACCTTGGATATGTATGTGTGTGTGTGTGTGTGTGTGTGTGTGTGTATATAGAGGTCAAATGGAGTCAGCACCACACAAGGACAAAAGCAGATGCTGAAGCACTCGGTCAATAACGTTTAGCCCCCAGACACTGTTGACCTCACCGGGAGGTCCGTATGCTTTACCGGCTTTATGAGTATAATCTGCTCTACAGTTAAGGGAGAAATTATCTCTTTATAAGATGTATTACTGAGGTTTGCTTATTGATTATTCATAATGCTTCACAAAGTGGCTCTCTATGTCTCTGAATAATGTATCGAGACTCAAATACATGGGAATAAATTAAAATGAGTCAACTTTATGGCTTTTATTTGGGAAGTTCTGGAAAGTGGGGCATCCTGTGTTTTTGTAATGATTAGTATAATGAGAGTATGATGTTGGTGTGAATGTGCAAATTCATTAATCATGTTAAATTTGGCTTGCATTGACCGTTCATCTAAGTGATAATAAGAGCGTTTAAAAAGAGCTTAACCTGAACTTCGCGAGCCAAATGAGATGAGGCCAAATATCGTGTGGTGTTGGCAGCTGCCATAAATAACAAAAAAACAAAACTCTGCAAAGAGATTTAACATACTGTGCTTCTTCAACAAGTATTTATGGTGAAAAAATACACTAGATTTTTTTTTGTTTTTTGAAGAAAATGTCATCTGTGCTTGTCATGTATAGTGTAATGTAAGTCTATGAGATTTTCTCGCCTGTTTTTATTGCCCACCAAGCGAAGTCTGCTCAATCCTTGCCAAAATATTAGAGGTCTGCTACGTTCAGAGTATCTCTGTAAAAATGTACAGCAAGTGTGCTGGTCTTCAACACATAGTCAAAGTCATCATTCAAAAGTTTGGGATCAGTACGTTTTTGAACAAAGTTCATCATGTTCCAAGGCTCGAGGCTGCAATTATTTTATAGAAATACAGTAAAAACAGATATTGTGAAATATTTACAATATATTACAATTTAAAATAACGGTTTACTATATAAAATTACATACTAAAATGTAATTTATTCCTGTGATGGCAAAGCTGAATGTTTAGCAGCCAGTACTTCAGACTTCAGTGTCACATGATCCTCAAGAAACATTTCTTTAGTATTATCATCACAACTGAAATCAGCTGTGCTGCTCAAGATTTTTTATGAAAACTGTGATACATTTTTTTTTTTTCAGGATTCTTTCGATTTCAACGTTTTATTGTCAAAGTTCAAAACATTTACTGTATATACTGTTACTTTTGATCAATATAATGCACCCTTGCAGAACAAAAGTATTCATTTCTCATAATCTTTTTGACCCCAAACTTTTGAACAGTAGTGTATGTGAATAATTAATGTGCTAAAATTATACCTGAATGCCAAAAGTATACATATGGTGTCAAACACTTTTGCCAACCCAGTCACAATGAAAATTTCAAAATCTGAAGTATGTATTGTGATTTAAACATTAAATTCACTAGAAACTCCAGCATTTTCAGAAACAGTGAAAGCTTTGCCTTCACCTTAAAGCAACTAGCTCTTGCCTGGCATTTTTTGACTCGACTCGAACAGCATTTCACCAATGTTTAACACTCTAACCACTCATCTTCACTGACAGTCCCACACAGTCAACACGCAAGCCTGCCACTCAGCTCCCATAGAACAGTAAAAGCACACACCTCCATTGATGTTCAGAGCACAAATGGTCTAATGCTTATGGGTTTATCATTAAAGAATTAGTTCACACAAAACTGAAAACTCAGTTTTCAGTCATCATTTACACACCCTTATGGAAGAACACAAGGGTCAGTAAATAATAGTGGACGACGCTGAGAGTGGCAGCGCTGGCGCACACAGCTCTCACATTCTCCCTCTTTATTGTTTGCTGTTGCCATTTAATAGGGATGGGCAATATCACTTATTGTGTTTTCGATACTTGATACTTTTGGGAAATGCGGCCCTGTTTCGATGCACTGTCAGAAGTGAGTGAACGCTCTTTGTGATTGATTGATTCGGTCTTGCATCATTTGCGTGTGTTCAGATGAGCCGAAAATTAGTTATATTCTACACAATTATTCGCTAACATAGGTTATTCGTCCAATTCAATGCATATTGTACGCTGCATTTTTTGTAAAATAAACAAAATCACTGGTAAAAAAAAACACCTTAGTATCGATATTTTTTATTTGAGTATCGATACTTTCGATACTCGCATCAGTATCGATATATCAATACTTCAGGATTCCCATCCCTACCATTTAACAGTTCTGTCTGATACGGATAGAAGTCTGTCTAATAATCAGAAAGAACTGTTAAACAAAGGAGCTATACAAAAAAGTATTATAACGATTGCTTTTATATCATTAGTAATAGAAAGGTAAACATTATAATACTTTCTCGCTTACTGTCAGCTTTCAGCAAATACGCATTTACAAAGCTTTGAATGTCTAATAAACATTTAATTTCACGAACCTTGCAGACTTATTCGAATCCAGCTGTGAAATCTTGTGAAGTGTGCATTTGTATCCTGCCTGATCGCCTGTACTCTGTGTGACTGTCGGTCCGTGCGAATTGAACGCGGACTCGAGGAGAGTTCAGCTTTGCTGGAGACGCACAAACAACAAAGATAGATAGATAGAATATTTATTATCTATCTATCTATCCATCTATTAGGGGTGTAACGATTCATCGATATGGGTCGATAAATCGATACGATGTCTGACGATACGATGCATCGATGCCACGTGTAAAATAAGTGAAAAAAAAAAAAGTGACGTGACATGTGGCCAAGTATGGTGACCCATACTTGGAATTAGTGCTCTGCATTTAACCCATCCAAAGTGCACACACACAGCAGTGAACACACACACACCGTGAACACACACCCGGAGCAGTGGGCAGCCATTAGGGCCTTTCGCACAGCAGGAACCTTTTCATAGTACCAGAACTAATTGTGGAACTACCCACTTTTTGCCGTTTTCGCACCGAAAACGGCAAAGTGCACGGAACTGGGTGCTTTTTTAGTACCGGACTGCCTTTTTCAAGAACCAAATTAGCTCCTACTCCGGAGCAGGGTCTAACCAGCACAACTGGTACTAATCGTGACGCAAGTAGACATTGATTGGCCAAACGCGTATGAAAACGCCCTCACCCGCCATGATTTAAAACGCTGTG